TCACATGGTAGTAAATTTTTATACTCATAAAAGCTGACTTTTTGATAGCTAATTACACAGCAGGTACTGTGCTGAGATCTTTGCTCTTATTAAGTCTCTGAATCTTCTTAAGCCTATGAGATAGAGGCTGATGTTACCTTTTTTAAAAAGATATATGAGGACATTAAGACAAAGAGTGCTTCACTGACTTGACCACAGTCACACAATAGTAAGTGGTCCAAGATTCTAACCTCAGATCTGCTAACCACTGTACTACTTGAGGGACCACTATATTCTCAACATAGTTCTTATTTCCTGCCCCTTGCTCTTAGTCTAAGGGTCCTGTTCTGAATTTGACATTATTGAATTTCATCTTATTCCAACTATTCTAACTAATTAACTCTTTTATTTAGATTGAAATATAATGAAGCTTCTAATGAGCTGTGTGTTAATTGACTGTATTATAGAAAATGTAATTTTAGTTTAGAATTAATAATTTTTATCAATACATAGTCTAATGGAGTTACTGCAATGGTAAATATTAGAAATGCATGATTTTGGTAATATAAAGCTTAAAATATAGGGATATTTATAACCTCATTGCAAATTTTGAGAAGAAATGTTAAATAGTAGTATTTGAAATTGTTAGATAAGCCTAAAATGTTTAATTTTATAAAAGCTCATATTAAGTTTCATAATCTAGAGCTTTCCAGGTGAAAATTTGCTAAAAGTCTAATTTTGAATGTTTGGGGAACAAACTGCGCCTTTAATTTCTGTTCAGTTTTAGCACTCAATGGGCAGAGAAATCTGTGGAAGTTTCTAGGGACTGGATTGATGTTCTCTGATTCTTGCATCTGCTACTTGAGGACTAAATAAATGCCCTGTGGTGTGTCAGTGACTGCCACATTCTGAACAGAGATGCTATTTTAAAATAAGAGCAGCTGGGCAACAAGCAGTTGGATTTTCATGGTATGCTAAGGAAGTCTGAAGTCCATAGCCCTGAAGGGCATGAAGAAATAGGAGAACACAGATTCCTAGAGGTGTTTGGGGTCCCTTCTACCTTATTGACTTCTTCCCTTTCTCCAATAATTGATTGTAATAAATATAATTACATTTTAAGCTGGATTTAACAAAGGTTGATGTTTCTCTGCTTTTGAGGATTTACTTTTCTCATTTATATGATTGACCATGCTGAGATATTCAGTTAAGGGATGGTTCTTGTCATCTTGATTTTGCTGGGAAGAGAAACAAAAGGAACTCTGTCCCTTTGCTAAGTGCCCTGAGAGCACACTGTGAGACTAAAGGAAAGTGATAGTTGTGTGATGAAAACCTGGCTTCTCTCAGTTTTTCATCTTCTCTTTCACTTGATCTGTTACTTTTATGGATTCATAACTCCTCTCCCCAGTACTGTTAGTTCTTAGAGGGTTGAGCCTCCTGTTGGTTTTCCTGACCTGTACTCTCTTCCGCTTTCAGGAAGGTTAACTTTCTGACAATGTTCACTCCCCAGATCGCTCTGTCTATACTTCTAGCTTAGAGATGTCACTTTATTCCATAATTGCCTGTCTGTGGAGCTTTCCCTTCAGTAGACTGAAGATCCTGAGGTGTAAGGACCTTGTTTTCTCATCTGTGCTTCTGTGTATCTATCAGGGTGGTTGGCCCATAGGGGCCGTTACCTGTCTCAATGAGGAAACATGGTGAAATTATGCCCATGCCCAGAATCTACAGGGACTAGTCACTGCTGGTCAGACCCGGCCCCTAATCTTAAACTGAGCTTCATTTTTATCAATACTAATTATTACTTATATACTTAAAACCACTCAAAATATGAATAATTTGTAATCCCTACTCACAGCCTCTAAACCCAAGTATCCATTCCCATCACCTAACCTCCACTTGCTCCAAGCCACTCCTCACTGGGCCCATCACACGCCATGTGGATTTTCTTTATTGCCTAATCATTAGGGCAGCCACCCTTGCCAGGACTCTGCTTCTTCCTGTCTCTCGCAAACTTGCTCATCTGAGGTTCCAACTTTCATAGCATCACACATCACCCACCTTCCTCTGATAGTTATGGTCTCCAGGATAATTGTTTTCAGGTGTTTATCTTCCACATAATTTGCAGTTCTTTACAGCAAGTATGGCTTTTTAATATTAGAAATACTTACAATGCATGTGCAATCAGTCTCACTAAGCATGTAAATATAACAGAAATCGAATTTTAAAGTGGCATTCGTGTTCATTTACTTGGCAAGCATTAAAACTCCGCCATGTGTCCAGTACTGTGTTAGGACTGGGAATTCACAGATGGGGGGAAAAACAACTTTAATGGCAGAACAGAAATGGGTCTCTTTTCCGTCTCTAAGGTACCCAACACATGCTTCTAATATCTCCTGTTACATTTTGATGCCCTGTTAGTGCCACATGGACCCCTCTGGCTTAGCACCTCTAGGATAGGGAGTGGGTTTAGATTCTCAGGGTTTGGCACATACTAGATTCTTGGAGAATGTTGGGAATGAACCATTGAGCTGGACTACAGTGTAATTCGAAAAAATGTTATATTAGATCCTGTACAAGGTACTGTGGGAGGATAGGAGAGAGGGTACTTAGCCTATTTTTCTGTTTCTTGGCCGGGGTCAGCCCTTCTTGCCAAATGACAGCCTTGTCGGACTGCATTTGGATGCAGTTTCACTTGGACAGTAATTTTACTTAAACCAATATTGGCAGTCCTCATTTGGTTGGTTACATTTTTAAGGAGGCACTGTAATTTAGAAGCATGTAAGTTGGCCTAACTGGGGTCTTCTATTTGAACAAGGCCTTAAAGCCCATATTTTTATAGAAAAGCCCTATGTTTACCAAAACAGAGATATAGACCAATGGAACAAAACAGAGGCACCGGAGGCAACACAACATACATACAACTATACAATCTTTGATAAACCTGACAAAAACAAGCAATGGGGCAAGGATTCCATGTTTAACAAATGGTGTTGGGAAAACTGGCTAGCCATGTGCAGAAAGCAGAAACTGGACCCCTTCCTGACACCTTACACTAAAATTAACTCCAGATGGATTAAAGACTTAAACATAAGACCTGCCACGATAAAAACCCTAGAAGGAAATCTAGGCAAAACTATCCAGGACATAGGAGTAGGCAAGGACTTCATGAACAAAACACCAAGAGCATTGGCAACAAAAGCCAAAATAGACAAATGGGACCTAATGAAACTCCACAGCTTCTGCACGGCAAAAGAAACAGTCACTAGAGTGGATCGGCAACCAACAGAATGGGAAAAAATTTTCGCAGTCTACCCATCTGACAAAGGGCTGATATCCAGAATTTACAAACAACTCAAGCAGATTTACAGGAAAAAAACAAACAAGCCCATTCAAAAGTGGGCAAAGGATATGAACAGATACTTTACGAAAGAAGACATATATGAGGCCAACAATCATATGAAAAAATGCTCATCGTCACTGGTCATCAGAGAGATGCAAATCAAAACCACATTGAGATACCATCTCACGCCAGTTAGAATGGCGATCATTAAAAAATCTGGAGACAACAGATGCTGGAGAGGATGTGGAGAAAAAGGAACACTTTTACACTGTTGGTGGGAGTGTAAATTAGTTCAACCATTGTGGAAGACAGTGTGGCGATTCCTCAAGGCCTTAGAAATAGAAATTCCATTTGACCCAGCAATCCCATTACTGGGTATATATCCAAAAGACTATAAATCGTTCTACTATAAGGACACATGTACACGAATGTTCATTGCAGCACTGTTTACAATAGCAAAGACCTGGAATCAACCCAAATGCCCATTGATAATAGACTGGATCGGAAAAATGTGGCACATATACACCATGGAATATTATGCAGCAATCAGAAATGATGAGTTCGTGTCGTTTGTAGGGACATGGATGAATCTGGAAAACATCATCCTCAGCAAACTGACACAAGAACAGAAAATGAAACACCGCATATTCTCACTCATAGGTGGGTGATGAAAAATGAGAACACATGGACACAGAAAGGGGAGTACTAAACACTGGGGTCTATTGGGGGGAAAAGGGGAGGGCCAGTGGGAGGGGGAGGTGGGGAGGGATAGCCTGGGGAAAAATGCCAAATGTGGGTGAAGGGGAGAAGAAAAGCAAAGCACACTGCCATGTGTGTACCTACGCAACTGTCTTGCATGCTCTGCTCATGTACCCCAAAACCTATAATCCAATAAAAAAAAAAAGCCCTATGTTTAATAAATTTTAATATACCTATTATGTAGTGTCAGTTTTCTAAGGTTTAACAGTCTATTGTATGATCCTACTGGTGTTCTAAACGTGAGTAACTCATTTATTTATAAGATTTACATAGAGGTTTTCTAAACCGTATGGAAGAAACTGTTAACACAGTGGCTATTTCTTGGGAGTAGGCCTGATGTGCCATTCAGGTGAGAAAAAGGATTTATATTTTTTCCTGTAAACCTTCTGTACTGCTTTGAGTTTTTACTCATAATGAGAATGTTTTACTTTTATATAAAAATGAGTTAATAAGTTGATACAAATCCCAGTTACATGATACAATGTTTAAGTAGTGTTTGGAAAATGGCTACAAGCTGGGGGAGGAAGTATAGGATGATGAAACTTCACAAGATTTTTTGTGCCACCCCCCACCCCCCGCCACAAAGCAGAAGAGTTGCCTCCTGGAGAAATGACTGAACAGAGCAGGGCATTGTGGTTGGATTGGGAGCTGCTGAGGAAATGTTGTCAAAGGCTGTGAAGCACATCAAGTAGGAGACTTCCTGGATTAGGTGGTTTGTGGAGCTGCTTGCTTTAAAAGTATTAGATTTGTAGATGTTTGGGAGCAGATGAACTCTGTCAGTGCAGGCTGCGGAATGCATGGGCCGCCTGCATTGGTTTTATGTAGTGGCAAAGAACAAATGAGGCCAGGAAGTCCAGCACAGCTTCAGGTGCTAGGATGTGGCACTGATCAAAGCTTTAAAAGAAATACTTTATTACAAAGACAATATTTTATTTAGTTTTTTCCTCTTACAATTTGAGTGAAGTAAAAGCACCACTATTGAACATGTGAAAACAAAGGATACTGGAAAGAGATGGGTAATGAAGGTATATTTTGAAGATTATAGCAGGTTCAACATTATTAAATCAGGAGTATAATTCATGCACCCAAATCTGAAAATGTTTCAGATGTGATAGATGCCTTTATTCTTGCCTGTTAAAATAAAAAGAATTTAATTTTACAATGTTAATGGAGTGGCGCTTTTTTGAGTAAACTTAATTAGGTCACAAATATATATCGTAATTACATAAACATAATTATAAAGGATGTAATTCAGAAAAATAACTCTAACATGTTTCAAAATTCTACCATCCCCTCCCCAAATTAACTTCTCTACGCTACTTCATACATATGAACACATGCATGCATAGTTTTATTTTGTCATACTATATGTATCTTGCAACTCTGCAACTTGCCTTTTTTTTTTCGTTTTTGAGGCAGGGTCTTTGTTGACTAAGCTGGAGTGCAGTGGTGCAAACACAGCTCACTGCAGCCATGACCTCCCGGGCTCAAGTGATCCTCCGGCTTCAGCCCCCTCCAGGTAGCTGGGACAACAGGCACACACTACCATGCCCAACTAAATTTTGTAGAGATGGGGTTTCACCATGTTGCCTAGGCTGAACTTGAACTCCTGAGCTCAAGTGATCCATCCACCTCGGCCTTCCAAAGTGTTGGGATTACAGATGTGAGCCACCATGCCCAGCCAACTTGTCTTTTTTGTTGTTGTTCATTATGGGTTTTCCAGGTCATTACTTATAATTCATCTTGTACTTTTAAATTTGAACATATCATATTTGTATTCTACTTAAATTTGAGAACAAATAATTAAGCTTTCATCTAGCAGGATTTATACCTGAAGAAGTTAAACAACACTTTACAGAGAATGATAGGTATTTCAGCAATTCCATATCCTATGAACTGGTCTTAGGAGCATGGAATGAAATGAGGAAAGGGAGCTACAAGTAACAATAAAGATCAGCAAAGGACCTGGTAAAATGAATTCCAAATGCTTATTGCTATAACTTTTTGACCAAAAAGCTTATTGGCATGGCTATATTTGAGACAGAAATCAGGCCTTGTAGATGATAGCCAATTTATGAAGTGTACAGTCATTTTTTTTTTCTCTTTAAGTATAAATGCTTTTTTCCCTCCTCACCCCTTAGTTCTGTTTTATCCTGTTAAATGTTCATCACTATTTCTTGGAAAATAACTCTACAGCAGGAAGGGCTGCTGTTTTTTTAAAAAATATAGCGAGAAAACTAACAATTTGTGGACATAATGGTCATGTATTTTGACCATGATTAAGAGGTTATTGACCAGCTATGGACCATGGTTTTATTAAAATATAGGTTACAGCAGTTAACACTACAAATGAACCTTTTATGGGATGATAAACTGTTCTTCCGTGCTCACCATTTCCCTCCCCACCAAAGGAGCAGTAGAGTAGATTTGTATGTGGACTTTAACCCACACATATTTGGTGTTTCATTTATAAATTTGGTAACATTTTAGAAGTTGCCTTAGCTGCTTCATAGTGGTCACTTAATACAAAAAGCCTGTTTAGACTCAAAATTGAAAGGCAAAGAATTGGCATTTTTGATAGGTCTAGACACAGTCATATCTTATGTGATGAATTTTAATGAAATTTATTTTTAGCCTTTAAATTTAGCCTTTAAATCACTAAAATCTTCGGTGATTTCATATTTTGGCTACATTTTTTACCCCTTTATATCTTTGCTTATAGAACTATATGTTTAAAAGATTTTCTGAATCCTTAAAGCACACAGTATAGTTCTGGAGGCTTGTTAAATGAATACATGTGATGTCAAGGAGTTTTCATAGCACTTTATGTGCTATCATTTGCATCAGTTAAAACTGTTACAAGTAATAATGTACTACAGTCTGTTGAAAACCTGACCTTTCAATTCACCAGTCCTCCAAATTTCTTTACTTTCCTTGAAGAGTAGTTAAGAGTGTATTTATTTTCACCTGTGCATGCCAGGGATTTCTGGCCCAGATGTTACTGGCCTACCAGGGAATCTGATCTAGAATACAAGCCTATAAATTATTGCTTCTTTTTATAGCTTATTGTAATGTGTGTGGTTTAGTGGAAATATACATGTTTCTAATTCACTGTGGCTTCTATCTGCAGACTACCTATTATGAGCCTGTCAATTTACATATATTATTACAAAACCTTAGAATAGTTTTGTATTCTAAGGTTCAGTGTTACCCCCCTGTTTCATATAGGAGGACATAGAGACTAAGAGAGGCATATAGTTGTCTAAAGTTACAGAGTTGGTAAGGGCAGAGCTTGGTATTCACATCCAGATGTAACACACCTGAAAGCACATCTGTTTCACAAACTTGTAGCAGACTTCAGTTAGTGAGTTATAGAGAGAAATGTAATGGATTTAAAAGGCAGATGGTTTTGATGGCTTTCAGAACCAATTCAGCTGCTACTATGTGATTTTCTGTTAGTCCCAGATTTCTTATTTGCAAAGTGGAGATTCTATTGCCCACTGTGTAGGATTATGGTGAAGATTCAGTGGAAATACATATAAAGCCTTTGACACATTGTAGATTTTCAACAAAATGACCCAAACTTCCACCCACCCCCAAGTCACCCTCTGATGAATGTAGGTGCCAGTGTTCACCAGTGTCCTATGAAATAGACCATGCATTTTAAAACAAATTAAATTTCTTAACTCATTTACTATACCCAAACACTTATTACAGTGTTCCCATTGTAGGCCTTTTGAGGGCAGACAGATTTCAATAGTGGCGGCAAATAATTTGTAGAAGGAATGTTTTCTTTTTCTTTAGAATTTTTTGTTTTAATCCAATCTGGAGATTAACAACATTTCTGAAAGTTCTCATGCTGCCTGGGGCCCAGGGCTGGCATTCTCTCTTCGATTATTGATGTGGTAACCTGTCGGAAGAGACAGGAATGATTTGGAATGAGATGGCACTAAAACAAATGAATTAAACAATATTTCTCTGACCATGAGCATTTCAAATGGGCTAACCAGTGAGTTTATAAACACTTTATTTGTAAAACAAGTACATTTCTTTGACATTTTCTCTTTTTTCTCTTTAAAATTGCTTTTAGGATGCAGAATAGAAAACTGTGATTCTTGCTTTAGCAAAGACTTTTGTACCAAGTGCAAAGTAGGCTTTTATTTGCATAGAGGCCGTTGCTTTGATGAATGTCCAGATGGGTTTGCACCATTAGAAGAAACCATGGAATGTGTGGGTGAGTAGTTTTTAATGTAACTCTCAAACTGTGACTTTTAACAGTTTTTTCTTGAAAATAGGCATGTTGGATATATTTAAACTAAAAAAAAATTGGTTCTCTTGTTTGTCAGAATTGAAAATTACATTCTCTGCTGACTTTAAGTATCATGACAAATTGGACAGTCTTGTATCTTGGTATAAAATTTGCTAGTTGTGCATTTGCTAGGTTAATCTACTTAAGTGTTGACTAAGTTTTTTTTTTAATCACCTGTGTAATACATCCATTTCTTAATAAATTATTAGTAACTGTTAGAGAAAAACATTTTGTTTAGAGGAAAATTTTTCAGCAATACCATGTGAACCAACTACTTTATTGCTTTTGCTATGTGTAGAAATTACAGAGCTGCTTGCTTAGCTGTTTGTGTAAATGAAAAAAATTGAAAAGAAATTATTTGTGCTATATTTTGTTGATTATATATTACAAATGCATTAAAACAATTTTACCAAATTTGTATACCTAGAATGCATAATTTAATAAATATACTATTTGTGAAAATGATAATACACCTTTTATAAATTTTATTTTTTCTGAGTGTTAGCAAAATACATTGGCATTTTTATACCACTGATTGAACGGTAAAGATCTGTCAGTGGCTACATTATGAGCAATCTCTTAATCTAATCATGAATGTATTGACATGCCCCTCCCCAGAATTTCATTTGATGTTATATATCTGATATGATATACAACACAGCTATGTATTATAGACTTTACATCTCTTAAAATGGAGAATTAGAAGAAAATGGACAATGTTTTTCTATAAAAGTTTTGAAGTAGTCTGTAATTTAACTTTGAGAGCTTGCAGAGAAGACATTTAAATAAGTAGTTTTTGAAGAAATAGGTGCTTTCATGTTTCTACTTATGTGCAAGTTAATACATTTATATAGGCACCAAAATTAAAATAAGAAAGTCACTAGAATAACATATTCAGAATGTTGAATTTGCTTTTGAGAGGCAGGGCACACACATTACAAATGTTCAGTGGAAATGCTGAAATCCTTAACTACAAACATTATAAATAGACTCTGATGCATTCCTTGAATGAAAAAATCTTGATTGACTTCGAAAAGTCTAAGAAGCAGCTATTATACCCACTGATGTCTAGAAGGCGGACTCTGGGCCTGAACCGTCATTCAGTAGTGAGAAGAAGATTTTTAATGGTGAAGTGGATGAGGAGGTTTAGCTTTGTATACCTTTATCCTTTTAGTTTCTCCTCTGCCTCTCTGGGGAGTTGGAGGGTAGCCTTTTTTCCACTATGTGGACTTAACATAGGGGATGCTAAAAGCTTTTACGTATATAGTAAAAACATATATTTTCAAATGACTGATCACATCTGTTTAGTTTTCAAACTGTGGTAATGTACAACACCAATATGGGGAATAAGAACCGTGGTCTCCAGACACCTGTTGAAAGAGCAGAAAAAATCAAAATGCAAAGCAAGCTCCCCATATTTTTCACCAAGTGTTTCCAAAATAAAATACATTTGTGGGTTTGGTGGAGGCACATTCAGAATTAGCCTGTAAAATTTTGTCTTCTGTCATGATAGGAAATAGTGTCTTCTACTTTAGGTTTCAGCTGTTGACTCTTTTAAAAGTTATACATTTCAGTGTCATTAGAACTATTCATAACAGCAAAAACATGGGATCAACCTAAATGTTCATCAGTGATAGACTGTATAAAGAAAATGTGGTACATATATACCATCGAATACCATGCAGCCATAAAAAAGAATGAGATCAAGTCCTTTGCAGGGACATGGATGGAGTTGGAAGCCATTATGCTCAGAAAACTAATGCAGGAACAGAAAACCAAACACCTCATGTTTTCACTTATAAGTGGGAGCTGAATGATGGAAATGCATGGCACATGACGGGGAACAATACACACTAGGGCCTGTCAGGACGGAGGTGATGTGGGGAGGGAGAGCATCAGGAAGAATAGCTAATGGATGCTGGGCTTAATACCCGGGAATTAGGATGGCCATGCAGCAGACCACCATGGCACATTATTACCTGTGTAACAAACCTGCACATCTGCACATGTAGCCCTGAACATAAAAGCTGAAGGGAAAAATATAACTGACCAATAGCACCCTTTGAAAACTGAACTAAGACAAATGGAAAGTAATAGCTTATGAATTACTTAAGGGACATTGGGTTTTTTCTTTTCAATTTTTTTTTGATAGAAATATCCTATGGTTCAAAAAATTAAAGTTCCAAAAGGCGAGTATAGGTGTTCAAGGGCCGTACCATTTAAATTTTGGTATCTGAAGGCAGGGGGAAGAGGGAATGAAGGAACACTGCTATGTAAATGTGATGTCAGTGAAGCAAATGGACACTGACTTAGGTGTTTGTGTTTTTTCTTTTTCTAACAATCTTTACTAGAAGGATGTGAAGTTGGTCATTGGAGTGAATGGGGAACTTGTAGCCGAAATAATCGCACATGTGGATTTAAATGGGGTCTGGAAACCAGAACACGGCAAATTATTAAAAAGCCAGCAAAAGACACAATACCATGTCCAACCATTGCTGAATCCAGGAGATGCAAGATGGCAATGAGGCATTGTCCGGGAGGTAGGTTTGGATGTATAATCAGTACTGTGTACTGTGTGCTTTCTGAGATCTCCCCTTTCTACCCACCCTCCCTTCCAAAAATAATTATTTATCTGTGAAGGAAGTCCAGTAATATTGGTGAGAGGACAAAGCTTTGTTGCACTTATCTAAAAACAAATGATTCGGTTGTGAAAAATATTGTGTACATTTTATTACTTTCATAATACCTTAAGCATAATTTAGGAGAGTACCTTAGTAATGAGCTTTCTAAAATGAGATTTCTAAATGTGTTTTAGTGGCTTTTTCTGCAAGTGTATCATAAAAGCGGGTCCTTACGAAATCAGGCCTTTGCAGATGTTGCTGTGAGGGAAGCGGCCAACTTTCAGTTGAGAAGAGTTTAGATTAGAAAGGTTTATGGAGTCTGTAAAATCATCTGCGTCGTTACTAGTTGAAGATGACAACTTAAAATAAACTTGCCCAAACACTGGGAGGAATAAACATTGTCTTAATGTTACCGCAATTAGCTGTTTCTCTGTTTTTTGATGATAATTTGTAGAAAACAGCTACTGGTATGTGTGTGTTTATTCACATCTTTGTAGTAATTGTGCTGATTTGCAGTAATTATTCTGTAATAACAGGATTAGGTCTATTTAGAAATTGGAAGAGTACATAGCTGAGGTGCTGGCCGATGCAGAATCAGTAAGTTGAAATGCAGGTCTGAGCCCTGTCATTGCGCTGTCCCTAAAGCAGTAATCACTGGGTTACATTTATTTTATCACTAGTAGATGCTACATCACCATTTGCTCAAAATGGAAGAGCAAAAAAGAAAGTCGTGTTTGGAAAACTGCTCTGTAAAATAATTATGACTTTTGTTTGCCTTCGTTCTATTTTTTTGGTGCATAGCTTTTCAGCTTTATGACCATAGTCCAGAGGCAGAATATATAACTGCTTAAAACAGGTTTGTATCTGTGTTATGCTGCCTCAGAGAGTGTGTCTATGATCCGTGGAGAAAGACAAAACTTTTAAGATTCGAAGACTCCAGTCGGCCTTTGAGAACTATTAGATCCAGATTCAGAAGCTACTATTAGGAAAGCAGCTTTTCCTCTTGAATTAGTTTTGCTTTTCCTTACTGGATCTTTGAAACAAAGTTTTTGTGGGTCTGCTTTTCACTAACAAGGATGGTTTTGTTCACTTAAACTGGTTATTTTTTGGTCAAAATATAAGAAAATATTTTCTTACAAAACTAATAAGCCACTTCTTGGATAGCTGAGAGCATTTAACCTGCAAGCTTCTCCCTAAAAACAAACCTGATGTATTCAGGTATTGAAAATAAAGACTTTCTTTGTTATATATTGTTTATATAACCAGCCCCTCCCCCATTCCTCTTCCAGCAATGTGGTCCCCAATTGTGGTTTACATTGATAGCAAAAATTAACCTGAAAATGCTCCTATAACAAAAATGCTTATATGTAGCAAGAGCCAACACATTTCCCTTTCCTCCAAAACTATTTTGACTTAGCCTCAGTCTTGCTTGAGAATTTTCTAGATAACAGCTAGATTGTTAACCATAATATTTATTGCATTTGTATTTTTAATGTTATCAACAACAACATACTATCTTAATCAAATACAACTTGATAGTGTCAGCAGTTTAAATTACGCCAAAACAAATGCTTATGCATCATCTTCTTTTTTTGACAAGCAAACCAGTAATAGACTTGATTTAATTCTTACTGAAGTTTTACCAAGTTTTACCTACGAGGAAAGACTAGCTATAGCTCTAATTCTTGCATCTACATTTTCAGTTTAATCAAATCAATTTTTATAACCTTTAAATAAGTTTTCAAAGTTATATTAATTTTTTTTACTGTTTTATTAAAAGGAAACTAAATATAATTGTTGAGAGAAATGGCAAACTATTCTGTAACAAAGCAACTTATATTTACAAATGTAGGAGATGAAAACTAGAAAATTAGCTTTGTAACTTGAGCATGTATTGATAAAAATTGGCATAACTTCCTGGGGAGTATCCCACCTTGCCTTAGGTGAGAGGGAAAAAAGTTCCTTTTTTCAATAGGTCATGGTGGCTAATGGAAGAATGGATAAGAAAGCTACTTTATCCCTTTTTACATCTTGATTTGATTTCAGTGATCTGCTTTGACAAGCCATGCAAAAATGTAAGTCGTAATCAAGTTGGGAATACAGGCATTTTTAAGATCTTTGCAACATGTGTATGGATTTTTCTCCTGTTGGAGCCAATCTTAACCTGATTGCACACAAACACAGCCTTAAGCTCCTTCACACTAAAGCAGCAGCACATTAGAATCAGCTGCTTTCAATTACTGAAAGGCATTAAGTTAGAGGTCAGTGTAATGGTATAGTCATCACTATGCATATAAGATATTACATTGAAAACTATAAATATGGAAACATAAATGGCTTTGAGTTTAAATAAAACAGTGTAAGTTTAGCCTAGTTTTTCCTTAACTATCATATGCTTATTTGTTTTCCTTTTTTTTTTTTTAAAGAATATCTGGAAATATCTTTAGTAGATTGATTTACACGTGAAATACTCAGTGTTCATTCCCAAACTTTTCCTTTAGATCCGGTATCTTGTTCTTTCATTTTTTAATAGCATAACCTATAAGGTTTCCTGGGCTTTTCCAATAATCATTCTTCAGGGTCCTGGTCTGTAGAGATATCTGGGTCCCTACATCCTGTCAACTCATTAATTCCATGAGTCCTGACAAGTCACTTAACCTCTCTTGGCCTCCATTTCCTCATTTTTAAAATTGAGGGTTTGTTAGGGTAGGTGATCTCTAAGGTCCTGTTCTGTTCTAAAATCTGATGATTTTAGGATTAATTGCCAAAAGATGCAGGCAAGTTCTTTGGCTCTCACATGAGGTGAAGAAGAGACTTTGGAAGGCCAGGAGCATAGTTTCACAATGAAGGACCAGAACACTTTCCCAGTAGCTACCCCTGCAGTTGCCAAGCCTTCCACATCCAGCAGCTTCCAGCTTTCTGCTTCAGGAAGGACTCTGCTTGGTCCTTCAAAGATTAAACAAGATTCTTTTAAAATGTGTGCATGACCTGTGACTTGGCTACCAATATAGCAGAAGTATATAGAATGACAAAAGGGAGCATAAAAGACCATGGAAAAAAGAGAAAGATGGACAATGAATGAGAGAAAAAAACATTGCACAGTGAGTATAGGAAACAAGTGGAAAAAAGAGTGAATGACTTGAAAATAAAAGCTGTACTCATTGCAGATATAACTGTCTCCATTCCCTTTGCCCTCTCCCCGAGTGTACTAATTAATAAAATTAATCATGTTGGGACTAATTTATGAATATATAACCTGAAGCTTTAAGTGGCAAGAATTTCAAGTCTGGGCCATGTCATACATTAGGGAATATCTTAATACAAAAGTATAAACATGTTTTTGTCATGGTTAAATGACACATGGAAGAACAAATTTGTGGTTGCTAAGGTTTGATGTTGGAGGATGTTCATGTACAGGACAAAATATCATCTATAGGTGGCTGTAGTCTTCTCCTCTTTCACAGGATGGACCAACATCATTATCTCAACCTGAAAATATTCTGTACTATCTGTATGGGACTCCTGCTTTTTTTTGCCAAGCTCCATCACAACTCATTTTGTTAATTTACTTCATCAGATATTTGTCGAGCACTGCTATGTGTCAATCATATGTCTAGGCATGGGATTGCTCAGAGTCCTTAGCCTTTTTTCTAGCAAGAATAGCTACAATAAAGAAGTGGATGAGTGTGTTTAATTTCATGTGGAGACAAGGGTTGTGAAAGGGAGGATAGGGAGCTAGTGAATGGATCAGGATATACTATGTTATGTAGGGTGATCAGGAAAATGAGGAAGTTACATTTGTTGAGAGATCTAAATGAAGGAGATATTTTGAAGCTCTAAGGGAAATTATTTTTGTAAAATCCTTGATTCTTCTGCCATATTTTAGGGAAGAGGAAAGAACTGAGTTTAGTGGAGGCTCTGACTGGTCCAAGGTGATACATAACAAGTTATTAGTGGTAGAACCAAGAAAGTAGGACCATCATCTTGCTGCTTAGAAAACCTGTTTTCCTGTGCTCTTTCCTTGGTCTTTATGATAAAGACCTAAGATAAAGCCATGGTTGTCCAACATTAAAGTACCCAACTTTTAACTATTTCTCCCTCTAGGCAGAAATATCATTTTACTTTTGCTCTACAAATGCTTTTAAACAACATAGTACCCCGCTATCGCCACCCCTTCCAATTTGGAATCGCTGGTGAAACATATTCCAAAGGGCACTGCATAAAGGCCAAAGTGTTGAGCCACTGGCTTTGCTTTGATTCAGCTTCCCCTGTGAAAGTCCTATTCTCCTTTTGAGTCATTGGTCCTTGGTTGGCAGGGGGAAAAAATGTGGCATCAAGACTGTGGTTTCCATCCTTAATCTTTCAAAGCCCGCCCTCTAGAGGAGACTGCCTTGTGTGGAGCCAAACCCAACAGTCGTCTCTGACCATTCTCCTTGACCTACACAGAAGCCCTGGGTAACCTGACCCCATCCCCACATCGGATGGCTCTGTGCCCAGCATAGTTTTTTCTTTCTGACAAATTTCAACTATCGGACTCTTAGAGTAATTAAGGTGATGGTTTGGCATATGCTGGGATAGCTTTTTGAGTCTTTTGCTGATGGCTGCCTTAACTCACAGCAGTTCTTTAAGCTCCAGTCATATTTTGTTAGTACTGTGCTAAAATTTAAATATGAAAGCTGCTACTGTATGCTATTTTAATTTTATATGCTTTTTTTTCTTCAAAAGTGGTTCTTGGTAAGAAATGAAAGAAAATACAAATTTACCATTTAGAACCTTAATATCTGGAAAAACCTACTTTTTAAAAGGTAATAGTTAAGACCCCTCTAATCTACATTGTGTGTGTAACTGACAGCAACATGTGGACTAGGTATTAGATAATATAACCAAAGATGGTTGTAGATTGTGATAGATTAACCCCA